CTATCGGGGATGCTTTAGACATTATTGGTCCCTGCCATAAGGGTCCTCTCGAGGTCCCTTCCAGTCCTAGAATCTATGAATCTATGAACATGCAATAAAAACTCCACAGCCCACGTGTGCCACAACTGCTTTTCTGCATACAGAAGCCAGGGCCAGCGTCAGGGGGTAGCAAGCAAGGCAGTTGTCTGGGGCCCCATGCCACAGGGGCCCCCACAAAGCTACATTGCTCAGGCTTCGGCTTCAGCCCCGGGTGGCGGGGCTCAGAGCCCCGGGCTTCAGCCCCAGGTGGTGGGCTTCTGCTTTCTGCCCTGGGCCCCAGCGAGTCTAATTCTGGCCCTGCTTGGTGGATCAGCTCACGGCCCCCTAGAGGCCCTGGACCCCTGGTTGAGAACCACTGGACTAGCCATCCCCGTCTGGCCTGGGCTCCGGGAATCTCCCTGGGAATGGGATGCTGCTGCTCCTCGGCCCTGCCAGCAGCCGGTGGCACTGCCTGCCTGGCGGGGTCCCACGCTGCGCCCTCACCCACGTGGAGAGATCCTGTCCCCTCCCTGTCCCACAGCCCTGCCCCAGCCCCATTGGACCCTTGTGCACTGGGGTGGGATCAGGGTCCTGGGATGGGGCCGTGGCTCCGGTGCCAGGCTGCGGGGGGCGTTGCTGGCCCCTGGGTGGGATCTGGGTGGCTAGAGCGGTGCTGGGTCCTAGTTTTCGGGGGGCTGGGGAGGTGTGGGCTCCCCCCCCCTGCCCAGGGTTGCTGTTTGCAGCTGCAGCTGCTGGTTCTATTTTTAGCAGCTGCCTCCCCCTCCTGCCACATCTGTGTGGGAGCCAGGCAAGCGGGGAGGAGCAGGTGCCTTCCTGTAGCTGGGGAAGGAGGAATTCAAGGGGGCCCGGACGGAGCCCTGCTCCCCCCCAGGTCCCTGCCTCTAGGCTCCGCACCCTGTTGACCTCCAAAGGGGCTGGGGGAGCATGCCCAGGTCCCCTCCCCCCTAGCCAACGGAGGGGCCAGTGGGGTGGTGTGACCCTGACAGAGCTTCATCCATCCTGGACAGGCTGCAGACGGGGGCCTGCCCCCCGCCCCCAGCTCAAATGCCGCACTGCGCCGGCTGGCAGCCCCCTGTGTGTCGTGGTGCCCTGCACAGTACAGCGGGGTGCCCGCTGCATCATCCCCACCCAGCACCCCGGTGCCTCCCGATGGCCCTGGCGCCCGTGAATGCAGCCAGCCAGAGCCGTGAGGGCTCCAGGCCGTGCATGTCCCCCCATGCAGCCCTGCGGGTGCTGAACCCCGGCTCTGCCAGCGGACAGGCCCCCTGCAGTGAGCTGGCCCAACAGGGGGTCGCTTCGGCCCCTTGCCCCTCCAAGCAGCTGTGGGCGCAGGGGGGCCGAGCCCCGCCCGGTTCACAAATAGCCCTGGATTAGCAGCTCAACCAGGGCAGCTGGGCCTCCGTAATCCTGCCTGCCTGCAGCCGTCCTGCTGTGCCTGCCAAGGGCTGGCCGGCTTCCCAGGGGCCCGGCCCCTCTTAGCCCTGCCTTAGTGCCGGGCAGGGGCTGCCCCGCTGGGTACCAGCCCAGCCCACGTATTCATCCCCTCGCGCCGGCCCGCTCCCTTTTCTGCCTTTTCCTAGGGATAGCTCAATGGTTTGAGCATTGGCCTGCTAAGCCCAGGGTTGTGAGTTCAATCCTTGAGGGGGCCACTTTAGGGATCTGGGGCAAAATCAGTACTTGGTCCTGCTAGTGAAGGCAGGTCCTTTCCAGTTCTAGGAGATAGGATATCTCCATTAATTTAAATTTAAAATCCTGTAAAGCCATCTGGGGCCCGGCTGCGATCACTGCCACAGCCCTGTGCCACGGGGATGGCTTGGGGGGAGCCCAGCCTCCTCTCTGTGCAGCTGTGGCTGTGTGTGGGGTGGGCTCCAGGGGCGTGGGCTCCCTGTGGGGTGTGGGGCTGCATGGGGGCTGTGGGGGCAGGTCTAGCCGCCATGTAATGCTCTCTCCCTCTCTGTTTCTGCAGCGACTTCCTGATCCTACCAGGCTTCATCGATTTCACAGCGGACGAAGTGGTGAGTCGGTCCCTGGAGCGCTCGCCGGGGTGTCCCCTGGGGCCGGCGCTCATGGGTGGCATGCCAGCCCCTTGCACCCTGGGGTGGGCAGTGCCGTGCTGCTGGGTACGGGGCCAGGGCAGCACCAGAGCTGGGGGGTGTTAACATTATGAGCCACCTTCCCTCCCGCCCACACTCCCGCTAGGTCTAGGGGTCCCATTGGGGGTGGCGGATTGGGCTCGA